TGAAGAAAAGTTCCAGGAAAACTGGTGAGGGATAAAAATAGAGACCTGTCTTACTAGAAGCTAAAAGTACTGAATCTAATTTGATGAGGGTTTTTTTTTAAAAAAACAAACAAACTGCTGACTCAGGTAAAACAATACAGCATCCAAAAAAGCACCCTGTCTATTATATAAAAGAATACCTACTTACTTGCACTTAAGGGAATAATAAACTCTCTAGCAAAATTAATTCAAAGCTTTTGGTCAATAAACTCTTAAAGGAACTGGCACCGAAAGAAGCTGTCTGGCACAGGAAAGGCTGAGATAAATTTGATTCCTTGAGGAGCAGAAAATGTAATGAGAAAATCTCTTATTAGTGCCAGCATTAGCTTGCCAAGGACAAGGGCTACCAAAGTCACCAGTTTATTGCGAAGGCAGCATCTCATGTGTGTGCACTGCCAAGTAGGCTGAAAGCAGAATAGAAGGAAGAATAAAGCTTAAATGGGGGGGGGGGGGGGGTTCTTGGCTATCAAAACAAGCTGCTTGCTTATAATTTGAATGAAATAAACTATCATTAATCATTCTAAATTGGAAAAAAATATTTGTATTATCTATTCCATTGAAAGCTTTTTCTGGCAAGTTATTTCTGTTCAAATGTCAAGATGCCTTTGCATGTCAGGAGGGACTTGTTTGTAGTTCCTGTAACAATGAAGAACATATGCTGAAACTAATTTAAAAGCTCGTCTGTGATGAAGCTGTCAGATAAACTTGTTCCTTGTGCCAGAGAAGTATTGAATAAGTATGTATTAAATAAAATAAAAGAGTGACTTTCTATCAAGCCGCAGTAAACCACTCCATATTTTTAATGCAATAAGCTGCTCTGGGTTTTTTTTTATTATTATGTTGGTAAATGTGTGTAATGTGATAAAGCTTCAAATAGTCCAACAAGAGGCAGCCAGGTTAATATCAGGGGCGGTACACAGGGAGCACACAACTCCCATGTTAACATCAGCTCCACCAGCTGCCTGCTTGCTACTGGGCAAAATTCAAAGTGCTGCTTTGCCCTATAAAGCCCTAAATGGCCCTGGTCCAGTTTACCTGTCTGAATGCATCTCCCTTTACGAACCACTTGGAAGTCTTCTGAGGAGGCCCTGCTCTCAGTCCTGCCCCCCGTCACAGGCGCTCTTGGTGGGGATGAGAGAGAGGGCCTTCTCAGTGATTGCCCCCTGGATATGGAACTCCCTTCCTGGCAAGATAAATAGGAGTCTAGTGACTAGATCCAGGGAAGTCATGCTACCCCTCTATTCTGCATTGGTCAGACCACACCTGGAATACTGTGACCAATTCTGGGCACCACAATTGAAGGGAGATGTTGACAAGCTGGGATGTGTCCAGAGAAGGGCGACTAAAATGATCAAGGGTCTGGTGAACAAGCTCTATGAGGAGCAGCTTAAAGAGCTGGACATGTTTAGCCTTAAGGAGAGAAGGCTGAGAGGAGACATGATGAAGGCCGTGTATAAATATGTGAGGGAAAGTCATAGGCAGGAGGCAGCAAGCTTGTTTTCTGCTGCCCTGGAGACTAGGATGCGGAACAAGGGCTTCAAACTACAGGAAAGGAGATTCCATCTGAGCATTAGGAAGAACTTCTTGACTGTGAGAGCTGTTCAGCAGTGGTACTCTCTGCTCTGGAGTGTGGTGGAGGATTTTTAACCGAGGCTGGATGGCCATCTGTTGGGGGTGCTTTGAAGGCAAATTTCCTGTTTCTTGGCAAGGAGTTGGACTGGATGGCCCTCAAGGACTTTTCAAATTCAAGGATTCTATAATTCTATAAGATTAGATAAGCCCCCTCCTTCCTGTCCTTCAGAAAGATGGTAAAAACCTGGCTGTGGAACCAAGCCTTTGGGAAAGTGCAAAGAAGCAATAATAGGAAACCCACTCCATTGACCGGAACCAGCATGGTGTTTTGAGATGGTTGGAGCGCTGTTAATTTCCTGCCGAAGCGGTACCTATTGATCCACTCACATTTACATGTTTTTGAACTGCTAAGTGGGCAGAAGCTGGGGCTAAGAGCAGGAGCTCATCCCGGATTTGAACCGCTGACCTATTGGTCAGCAAGTTCAGCAGCTCAGCGATTTAACCCACTGCACCACCAAGGGCTCCTATAATGTAATGTAATGTGATATATTATATTTTTGCTATTATTAGTTTGTTATTATAAGTTTATATTGATGTTGTTTCATTTATTGTGTTGATTGATTTGTTGTTTGTCTGTTTTATTACAGCATTGAATGTTATTATTATTATTATTATTATTATTATTATTATCTAGATTTAGTACCATATTACCACTGAAGTTTCTCAAGTCGCTCCTGACACAATAAAAGAAAAAAGAAAACCACTGAAGTCACAAAGGCTCGGGCTTGGTGAAATGAAACTATTCACTATAGTATTAAATAGAGCAGATATTAGAAATTTAGTTTTTTTAAATAAATAAATAAATAAAGCTCCAATTATCCTGCATGAAACGGGCCTATTGCTAGCTATCTTTGGAGTTATTGTTTTAAAAAGTATTTTTTTCCTGAGAAAAACTACATTTATAAACTATTTATTATTTCATAATAGTGATGAAAAAGAAACCAGAATGCAGCTTTTTTAGTTTCAGATAACACACCCCTTTTATCTTCCAGTTCTGTCCCCAGCTCCAACCCAACCAAAAGCAAAGGGAAAATGAATTCAAAGACTTCTGTCAGTTGAATTAAACCTCTTCTTGGCAAGGTCACTTCATTAAAACTGCTACCCTGACTTTACTTATTTAAAATAATGTTCATTGAAGTCAATGGTACATTATTTCCAAGTAAACATCATTAGGATATAGCTAAGGCATATTCTGAAAGCCTGGTTTGATTGATAATCGTGTAGTGAAAAGAAGTTATTTGCTTTGTTTCCAGCCAATTAGGATTTTTTTTGGGTAGGATTTCTCAGGAAGAGGGAGGACTTGCTGTTGCCTTCCTCTTGCCAAGGTCACCCAGTGGGTTTTCGTGATTTGAGGATTTGAATCCTGCTCTCCAGAGTCACGGGGTGCAGGCCCGTAGCCAGGATTTAGATTCGGGGTGGGCTGAGTTTTTTTCAGGGGCAGGGCGGGGGGTGAGTCTGAGTGAAAGAGGGTCTAGCCTAGCAAACCTTTTGTATCATTACCCCAATACCCCCATGGATATGGGATATATTGAGCATGGTGATCAGATCATGATATGAATAAACATAACAGTTTAAATAATGCACCAGTAAGGCCTTCTCGCGGACCACCATCAGAATTTCGGGGGGAGGGGCGAGAGGCTGAAGCCCCCCAAGCCCCCCCCCCCCCAAGCTACATGCCTGATGGCTGCATAGTGTGCAGGGATGGGCCATCCAGGTGTTTGGACTTCAACTCCCACCATTCCCAACAGCCTCAGGAAAAGGAAAGGGCCTGAGGCTGTTAGGAAAGGTGGGAGTTGAAGTCCAAACACCTGGAGGGCCCATGTCTTCACTAGATATAGGAAACCTTTCTTGCCTTGAAAGAGTTGGGTTCAAAACAAAACTTTTCCAATGTCTGAGGCCAGCTGCCTGCTTCTGTTGACATCTGCTAAAGCCACTGGCTGCCCTCAGAGCTGCTTCCACAGAGCAAATGCATTTGAGTGGAAATAATAACTATTATTACATATACATACAACGGAATATGCTAGTTCAGAGTGCAGTGGAATCACCTCTGTTGATTCCTAAGCAGAGGCTGGATGGCTATCTGTTGGGGTTGCTTTGTGTGTTTCTGCATGGCTGTGGATTGGATTGGATGGCCTTTGTAGGCTCTTCCCACTATTATTCTGTACTTAATGAGATATCTTGGAGAGGGAATCGCAAGTCTTTAAAGAGATTTAAAGGTGGGCTTAAAGCCAACCTTAAAAACTGTGGTATGGAAATAACTGAAGCCTTAGCCCTTGAACGCTCTAAATGGAGGTCAGCTGTGACTAGCAGTGCTGCAGAAGAGGCACAAATGGAGGTCAAATGGGAAAAACATGCCAAGAGGAAGGCGTGTCAAGCTAACCCTGAGGGACCACCTTCTACGTGGAAATCAATGTTTTCACTGCGGGAAAACATGTGGATCAAGGATAGGGCTCCACAGCCACCTACATATCCACTGCCAAGACACTACACATCCTGGGACTACGAGCTTAAGCGGCTGAGGGGAAAAAAGAAGGGGCCTGAGGCTGTTAGGAATGGTGGGAGTTGAAGTCCAAAACACCTAAGGGCCCAAGTTTGCCCAGGCCTGATCTACACTGTAGAACTAATGGAGTTTGACACCACTTTAACTGGAGCCCCCGGTGGTGCAGTGGGTTAAACCCCTGTGCCGGCAGGACTGAAGACCGACAGGTCGCAGGTTCGAATCCGGGGAGAGGCGGATGAGCTCCCTCTATCAGCTCCAGCTCCTCGTGCGGGGACATGAGAGAAGCCTCCCACAAGGAAGATAAAAACATCAAACCATCCGGGCATCCCCTGGGCAACGTCCTTGCAGACAGCCAATTCTCTCACAACAGAAGCGACTTGCAATTTCTCAGGTTGCTCCTGACACGCCCAAAAAAACCACTTTAACTGCTCAACGCTATGGAATCATTGGAATTTTAGTTTGATAAGAAACCAAAACTTTTAGAAGAGAAGGCTAAAAATCTTGCAAAACTACAAATCCCAGGATTTAACAGCATTCAGCCATAGCAGTCAGTGGTGTCGATCTGCATTAATTCCGTAGAATAGATTGTAAAACAATTCCTAAGAACTCTCTTTTTTTTTTAGGCTGACAGTACTAAATAGGGAAAAACAAGCAGCCTATTTCAGCCCACAAATAGATGTCCCCAATTAGCCATCCTGCCTAACCCACCCTATAAGCCCTTCCTCTCGCTTTCTCGTCTGCGCAAGCGCAGTGAGATCTAAGTGGGCCGAATGAGGACTACGGGACAGAGAGGCGGCAAGAGCAACCGGAAGTGTGGCAGGACGAGAACCGGAAGTGAGCTCAAGCATCCGCCATATTGTTGAGGGGGAGAGTGCTGTCCACGCTGGGAAGCAGGAAGTATGTCGGCTTCCTTGCTGAGAAAAGGTCTGGAGCTGCTGGAGGCGACAGGAGGTAATAGAAAGAAACCGGGAGGAGGTAAAGAAAAAGGGACTGGGTTGTTGTAGGTTTTTCCGGGCTATATGGCCATGTTCTAGAGGCATTTTCTCCTGACGTTTCGCATGCATCTATGGCAAGCATCCTCTGGATGCTTGCCATAGATGCAGGCGAAACGTCAGGAGAAAATGCCTCTAGAACATGGCCATATAGCCCGGAAAAACCTACAACAACCCAATGATTCCGGCCATGAAAGCCTTCGACAATACAAAGGGACTGGGATTTTTTTTTCACTGTGTTGTATCTTTTCTTCCTTCTTTCCTCAATGAATAGCGTCTCCTTCTCAACCCAAGAAAGCGGCGTTCTCCTCCGGGCCGACCAAGCAGTTGCTGAAAAAGGCGAGGAAGAAGAAGAAGTGGCCGGGGCCTGGAAGAAACAAGGCCACCGTCAAAGGCAAAGTGGTCAAATCTGCTTTAGGTGAGAGGGTATCCCATTTCTGTCCCCATAAATATACACATATAGGGTGCATCTACACATTGTAGAATTGATGCTGTTTGACACCACTTTAACCGCCATGACTCAATGGTATGGAATCACAGGGGTTATAGTTTTACTAAGCTTTTAGCCTTTGTGTTGTCAAAGGCTTTCATGGCCGGAATCACTGGGTTGCTATGAGTTTTCTGGGCTGTATGGCCATGTTCCAGAAACATTCTCTCCTGACATTTTGCCTACATCTGTGGCAAGCATTCTCAGAAGTTGTGAGGCCTGTTGAGAACTAGAAAAATTGAGTTTATATATCTGTGGGTGGGAGAAAGAACTCTTGCCTGTTGGAGGTAGGTGTGAATGTTTTAATTGGCCACTTTGATTAAAGTGGCCAATTAAAACAGTAGGTAGTGGTATTGAAGGAAACTAAAAACATGGATATGAGACCAGGCCTTTGGGTAATCTGGCAGATAGACAAAGGACAATGGCGACCAGAATTGATAGGATTTAACAATGTGGAATGAATTTACGGACTCTGAGCTAGCGAACGTTGAGCATTAGATTGGTTTTATTGATTGTGTTATATAACTTGATTGTTGCAATTGTTTTATAATTGCTATTGATACATGTTTTATCTTATTGTTGTTGTTGGCATCAAATTGTGCCTTTGTAAGCCGCCCTGAGTCCCCCCTCGGGGGTTGAGAAGGGCAGGGTAGAAATACGTGAAATAAATAAATAAAATTTAATGGCCTAGCAGTTTTCAAAGCAGTTTTAAATGCTAATCAAGGTGGCCAATTAAAACATTCCCACCTACCTTCAACAGGCAAGAATTCTTTCTCCCACCCTAGACATTCCACAGACATAGAAACCCCATTTTCCTAGTTTCCAACAGACCTCACAACCTCTGAGGATGCCTGTCATAGACGTCAGGAGAAAATGCTTCTGGAACATGGCCATACAGCCCGAAAAGCTTACAGCAACCCTTTAGCCTTTCTCTGTCAAAGAGCTCTGGCCCCTCTCCAAACTACCAAGTCCTAGGATTCCATAGCATTGAGCGGTGGCAGCTAAAGTGGTGTCAGACTGCACTAATTCTGCAGAGTAGATGCACCCATAGCTATAAATCTTGGATACTGTGTGCAAATTGGCAAACATTGTGTAGGTTATACTTTTTCTAAAATAAATCTGTTAGTTTTAAAGTGACCACAAGCTCCCTTTTTAGAAAAATTGAACACAAAGCTATTTGGTTGGTAAGTTTCGGAAGTGTAGCTCAATTTATCTTCAGGAAATGCAGCACTTTTGTTACTTTCAAGACTTAACCGTTATTATTGGGCATACCCTTTTGTGAATGTTTGCATTTGAAATATTGGCCTGCAGTCCATGAATGGTAATGCAAATGCAGACTGATGGTCCTTAAGATATTACAAGCTGCTTTGTTTATTTGTGAACACAGGAATGCTGGACCACTCTAACAGCTACCATGTCAGGCTACACAGACAAGTCATTGAAATCCACAAGCATGTGGAAAATGTCAACAAAAAGGAGGAAACCATGAACATTAAGAAAATCAGGCTACTAATTTTTAAAGCTCTAAAATTAGGACAGTAAATAAAGAACAATACTCAAAAAGCAAGGGAATTCCAGACAAGAATCAATCAGAGCCAACAAAGGAGTCCCCCGGGCAGCAATCAGCCAGGTTTTTAAGCTGCAAGGCCATTAAATGCTAATCAATTGAGCCAATTGTAACATTCACACCTACCTCCAACAGACAAGAGTTCTTTCTCCCATCCTGGACATTCCACAGATATAGAAACCCCATTTTCCTAGTTTTCAACAGACCTCACAACCTCTGAGGATGCCTGCCATAGATGCAGGTGAAATGTCAGGAGAGAATGCTTCTGGAATATGGCATACAGCCTGGACAACTCACAGCAACCCCTGGTTTGTTGTTTCTCCTTGCTTTATATTGATTTTCCCCATTTCCATAGTATATGCTTATTTCATAGCAAAGAAGAAAAGCTTTCATTGCTGTTAGTAAGCAAAAGAGTAGATTTTGTTTTGCCTGCATTTTTATTTTGCTTTGATAGGTAAATTATTATCCAAAGAGAAGGATTGTCTGCTGCCTAGTCAAGCTGCTTTTACACTTGTAATCCTATGCACACTTTCTTGGGAATAAACATCTAAGAAGTTGCAGAATAGATTTTGTTTTTACAGTTCTGAGAATTACAATAATATGCAATGATATATTTATGAAACACTGGTGTTCTGATTTCCTGTTTGTGACGTTAATATATGTAATATGTCAATAGTGGAGAAATTCATCTTTTAAACTAAATGTTTCAAATTATTCTTGAGACAAATGAGCAACTGGAAGTACCCTGCTATGTCAGACTTCTTTCAGTTTCTGACTGGGTAGTTGTGTCCACAACAGAGTCTTTTTTCTTCTTAAAGATTAATGAATTTATAGTAGTGTAATATGTTCTAACATGTGCTTTTTAGGTCTCAAATGCATGAAATATTATTCAGAATTTTAAGTGTATATATATAGCAGACACTGGAAGTGGGTAGTGGTATTGAAAGCCATAAAGTCAAAAGGAATGTATAATGTGACACTGAAAATTAATTGCATTCCAGATAACAGAAATGGCACTATGTGGTGAAGACTTTTGTGTTCATCCTCCATAAACCTTTATCCTTTGTCTAATTAAAGTCTAGTTTAACAAGTTCTAGATTTATAACCCATGTCTATATATGGACTAAAGTTACACTTTTTAAATAAATTTCCCCAGAGGAATATAGGAAACGTCAAGCTGTTGACCATTTTGAGGAGAATATGCAGTACATGATGAGCAGTCACTTCGTTACAGACAACACTGTCACTAAAAAGGTAACTTCCTCTTTTCATTCATAGCTGGTGGGAAAAAACACAGCTTTATAGGGACATTGTTTATTTGATTTTAAAAAACAAGCAACATTTTGCATCTTTATATGCAACTTGTTTGTTGAAATAAAGGCTCAGTTGACAGGTCCCAGCTTTGAGAGGACTTACTGTATTCACTTCTAAGATGCATTTTGCCTCCGTATAACTGTTTCTAAAAACTGGGTCCATCTTAGAATCGCATACACACACACACACACACACACACACACACTTTATTTTTCTGATGATGGTACTATAGCTGGTGTGCATCTTATAATTGATGAATTGAAGAAATACAATACTAGTATAGTTCTATGCATTTCCATTTGACTTGAGTTCTTGCTGCCTTTCATCTGGCATTCTAACCATCTGGTATTCCAAAATATGCAAAAGTGTTGCCTTCCTGCACTGGATTTAAATGACTTATTCTGCTTCCTATATAAATCCTCATCTACTGGTTTTTTATTTTCCTGTATTTGTCTCTGCAAAGTGTTCAAATGTTTAGGCTAGATTATGGTTGAAGTCTTCAAGTTTGTACTGTTAGTAATGGTGTAATGTTTGTTTTTTCTTTGTAAATGCATTTGAAGATTTTAGACCAAAACAGAGGGAGGAAAGCTAAAGACCGCTCCCAAGAGGAAGCAAAGAAGAAACCTTCAAACACAGTATTCACTGAAGAAGACTTCCAACGATTTGAGAGGGAATATTTTGAGGGAGCTGGAGGAGTCTGACCAAATAGACTGCTTCTCATTGTTTACAGATCCTTTTTATATTTTTGGGATACATAGATCCGTTATCTAATGTGGGATGTTGCAGTTTGTCCTGTGTGCACAATCTTTATTTCCCTATCACCAGGATGCTAACTGCTCATTTACATTTATCTGCTGCTGAATGAAATCTCCCATCATATATCAGAGAGAAGCTGCTTACCAATTTGGGAGAGAGGAAAGTCTTCTAGAGCATAAGTACAAGAGCCCAATTTGCAGACAACCACACTTGAATATTATGCTTAATACATAAGCAAGTTACTGCTCTTCAGCCATCCTTTATATGTAACAAGTACAGTAGCACTAGCCAAAAATGGGAATCAGTTGTTTCAAAAGAGAAGTAGCATAAATCCAGGATTGTTGTACTCTAGAGACTGATGCAGTTCATAGTTCCCTATTACTCAGTCATGTGAGAGTATGTCAGTCTCAATATTGTATTAATAAAGCGGTGTAGTAATTCTGCTCACTTATAAGATTAAAATGTTGGTACTTTTTGTAAAGGTTCATTTTTAAGTACTGGAAAACAATTAGTTATCGCACCTGATGTTGCAAACCTCTGGAAGTGCGCAAGATACAGGCAGTATAAAGTTTGGAGTATATAGAGTCCTGGGAAGGATGACTTTTTTTAAAAAAAACACCTCCATTAGTTTTGATATCTTAATAATTGCTCCTCTAATATTGACTCACTCATGCTAGGAAGTAATGAGTACTAGGGTGTAGCTGTCAAACATGGTTCTTTAATATACCTTTAATCAACCAGCGTATTTAATTATATGGCAGAATTGCTGCACTGCAGTGTATTTCAGTTTATTCTAAGTGACGGGTCCCTCCAGCGTTGCTCCACTACTTCCAGCCGTTTTTTTTTTTTGGTCATATCAGGAGTGACTCCTGGTGTGAGAGAATTGGCCGTTTGCAAGGACATTGCCCAGGGGACGCCCGGATGATTTGATGTTTTTGTCATCCTTGTGGAAGGCTTCTCTCATGCCCCCGCATGAGGAGCTGGAGCTGATAGAGGGAGCTCATCTGCCTCTCCCTGGATTCGAACCTGCGACCTGTCCGTCTTCAGTCCTGTCAGCACAGGGGTTTAACCCACTGCACCACCGGGGGCTCTCCAGCCCAGTAAAACTGAGTATGAACACCTTTATCTTTTAGCTCACCTCTTTGCCACCAGCAGTGAATTGCAACGTTTTACAAAAGGAGCCAAGATAATAATTAGGACACAAGTCTAGACAGTGCACTAATTTAACCTTATTGGAAACATGGCTTCTTGTATTGGAAGCATAGCCAAAGATGTTTGGTTCCGTTTTTATTTCCTTCATATGGATCAAAACAAGTTCATTTATGGTTGCAATAAATAATTTGCCCCAAAGGCGGCAGAAACTTCATTGCGTTAGCTGTGTGAACCTACATTTAGCAATCTCAGCTTCTTTATAAGCAGACCTGTACAAAATTCCAAATGGAAGCAGAATGAACAGTTTATAAAGCTATTCCACAGGAAAATGATACATGGATCCAAAACTTTGGTCCCTGGCCTCTAGTATCATGTATTTTACTAACACTTTGAAAGTGAAGATCAGCCATAGGAACACATTGCCAACCAAAATAAAGGCACTTAAAAAGGCTATTCTCTATTTTATCCATGCTGGCTTTACTATAGGATACAAATCGTTTTATGTTTTTGTCTTAGTAGTTCAAGACTGAAAATAAAAAGATGCACATGAGAGAAATCTGGATATGCTTATGGCCACTACAGGTACAACACGCATAACAAAACCCCAAGTCCTGCATCTTACATAGGACAAGGGACATCTAGAAAGTGTTACTTTTCTGTTGGTATTGAGAGGTCAAAAGTTTTTTTTTTTTGTCCCTCGTGTCCTTACAAGGCAGTACAAGGAGTAACTTCTACCTGCATTGAAGTCCTTGAATACCACCTTATTGACTATACCAAACTGTGACTCAACAGCACTATTCTTATCTAAAGCCTTATGAAGGTGAAGCTTCAAGTGTGCAGTATTGTTTCGGAATTGGCCCAAAAGCACATTATCATTTTACTGCATAGCTGCCTCTGAATATCTACATGTTCAATTGTCTTCCAACCTACCCCGTGTACAATGAACTTCCCAATCTCTTTTAACAGTTTAGTGCTTCTCATTATTTATTCTGCCATTTTATTGAATTCAGACCAGTCAGTATATTATGCACTGTTAAAAGACACATACAATTATATACTAGAAAATAATTTATTAAGCAACAACACCGCTGTTTACACAAAGCTTTTATATACATGCATGTAACATCTATTTGACTACCTTATTCTGGAACTTTAACCTTTTTATTCTTGGCTTTGCGGACCTCTTCAATCAGATCTTTCAAATACTGGATTTCTTTGCTTAGGGAATCTGCCTTCTCCCTCAGGCTTTCGTTTTTCTGCTCTAGTTCTCTGCACTCTCCTGATAATGCCTTTTGCTCTAGCCTTTTCTTCTGCCGATACCTAGTAGCTGCAGTCTTATTTTGCTCCATCTTCTTCAGCTTTTTGTCTACCCTCTTTTCTCCCTTCATTTTCAATGCTACCTTTTCTGCAGGGTGATCATAAGGTGTGGGGCGCACAGAAACAATATGCACAGCCGTAACAGACTTGTCATCACTGACAGAACTAACGGAAGTGGTAGGACTTTGCTGGGGTGAACACAAGTAAGATTCTGGGCTCATGCATATTCCACTATCATTATCAGAATGTGCTTCATCCTCCTTCTCACACTTTGGAATGACATTTAGTGGAATTACCACTAAGATATGGGCTTCCGTTTTCCTGTCTCCTTCAAGAACATCTATCTCACTGCCTAGTTCTAAGGTGAAAGGGCTGCTGTCTGCAGTGGCAACATGTGACTCTGGAGAAAGGGCTAATGTCAGCAAGGGGCTTGGTGAAGCTTCCTGGTCTGAGCTGGCGGGGGGCTTTGGGGCCTCAATAATTTGCTCTGGTGTCAGTGGAGTTTCTTCAATGGGAATTTCTTGAAAGGGAGGCTCAAGTAGATCACACGTGTCTTCCAACGCGGCCATGAGCTCATCTGGTGAGACGGTGGATTCCTGATCATCAAGACCTAACAGCACATCAAAATCAAACTCCTTCAGATCCATGTTTTCCACCATCCAATCCATGCCAGAGAAGGCATCCTCTGTCAAGGAAAAGAAAAAAAATCATTTGAGAAAATTAAACATTTTGCAAAAATACATTCCTTTTATTTCTTCTATTTACACAATCAGATCATATCCAGTTGCCATTATACTAACACATTTCACTTTCACAGAACTAGTAGACCAACACCTCCCCCGCCCCCCAATCTCCAATGAACCCCTTTATCCCTCTGGTCTTACCCTGGCTGTTGTCTGTGGCATTATTCAAACTGTCCACAGCCAGCCAATGGGAGGCGCCCACTTTAGCCTTTTCGCTGGAGAACCCATGCGAACTGAGCTTCTTGGCCACCTCCAGGTAGTCATCTAAGAGTCCTAGACTTTCTTCAGCCCCCAAACACGGCTGGTTGAAGGGGGAGAGAAAATCCCCCCACAACATCTCTGTGTTTGAGAAGCTCATCTTGGCCAAGTTTCAGTACTTTGTCGTCAAAAAGGGTGGACAAATCGGTGGTGTCTTTGTCGAAAACAGCAAAGCTGCTGTGCAATGCTTTGAAAAACCTGGAAAGCAAAGAAAATGGGATTACCAAGGTGACAACTTTGTAAGGACCTTGAATTTACCCCTACAGTACGATAAGGCATTGTATACATTATAGTTAAGCAAGTGTGCTTGCCCGATTCCAGGACTGGGTTTTTTTGAGGCGCCATCTGGAATCCAGACTTGATTTCTTCTGCATACCAAATCGCTCAACCACAAAATGGCGCCAACTAGGGGCTGTCAAATGTTTCCACTTCTGCCCGCCCACCTCCTGACTTTCCTCATGACCATATATGGTCTGAGGCAGAGCAGACGCTCCACCCGCCACTCCCTTCGCCTGATTCATGCCTTCATTTGCTACAACAGCTGCAGCCATTTCGTGCTCTACGTGTCCACGTCCCCACCCTATAACTAGGCCGCCATTTTATATCCTGCCACGTTTTTATTTCAGCTGGTCCAACTAGTTTTCACCCTTTGACTATCTGTTTAATCCACACTGAGCAGAAGCACCTTAACAAATTCCAAGTACGTTACATGGGCTTTCAGAGATTAAAAGAGGAGAAATGCCTATATACAAGGATGGAGGTGAAAGATAACCACCTACAGATTTAGCGCTGCTCTAGACAGCACTAAAATAAACCAGGATACATCTAAAAAGGATCTCTTCTTGACATCAAGAGTTCTTGGCTTTCTAAGAGATTAATTTCCTGTGTACTCTAAACATTTACGTAAGACTCATGAATATCACCTAAAATATACATTATTTTTCAGCAAACAGTAACGTGGCTGTTATTATTTATTTACTGTATTCATTACTGTATTTATTTATTTGTTTGTTTGTTTATTGTGTCAGGGGCAGATCAAACAGTTGCATTACATTTCTTAACAAACAAACAAAACACAAAATTTGCAAGCTTGGTAGTTGATTAAATGTCCTTTGACCAGTAGCTGGTCATTACTGTATTTATATTTGACTTGACTTAGGCGATCCCTCGTTGGACGAGTAAGATGGTCTTCCATGATGGGTTTCCTTGTGGATTCGTAGGTTTATATACCACCTTTCTCACCGTTTATATACCATCTTTCTCACCCCTGGAGGGGGACTCAAGGCAGTTTACAACATACTAATGGCAAAAATTCAATGCCAACATACAGTAAAACCAAGAAATCATAACTAATTACTACAGATACCTTTGACTTAAAATCATGAAAACCACAAAACATAAGACAAAAAAAAGTTTAAACATGCAGACGAAACATTACAATCGTGTAATTATTACATTTTAAAATCATTTAATATTTAGGACAGTTTTCAAAATAAGCCTTGCATCTTATGACTGTATGCTGATCGAGCAGTATTTATGCTCCCCAGGAATTTCCTTCACAGTGAAGGGAAATAACTTTGCCCACTAATTACCCTAATTGGGCAACCCAGGGGAATTTGCATTCCCTTTGAGCCTCCTATTGCGAATTCCCAGAAGATTAGCTCATTGCTTTTTTCCCTCTTTGTAAACCTGAGTAAAAGGAACCCAGTTTCCCACTATGCCATATCATTGAGACTATGGTAATTCGAAGTGGTGTCAAACAGCACTCACATTCCACAGTGTATCAGGCCTGGACCAACTTGGGCCCTCCAGGTGTTTTGGACTTCCAACTCCCACCATTCCTAACAGCCTCAGGCCCTTTGCTTTTCCCCCTCAGCCGCTTAAGGGGGAAAAGGAAGGGGCCTGGGGCTGTTAGGAATGCTGGGAGTTGAAGTCCAAAACAAATGGAGGGCCCAAGTTGGCCCTGGCCTGGTGCAGATGACCTCCTCTTTCGCCATACTCACGCCATGGCTGCAGGTGCCTTGAGGTGCCGAGGCCGCGGCCGCTTCTGCTGCGCCTCTGCAATGGCCGTTCTGCCGCTTGCGCTGCCGCCCCTACGGTGCCATGGCGGCGCCTGAGGAAGCTCAAACCGCTCTGCGCCTCGTTGGTCTGGGCCGCGCCCGCAGGCCGCACACAAACGCCAATCACACAGGACCTCCTCCTTCGCAGACTCCAGCCGACAATGAGGACAATGGCGTCTTCGGCTTCTCCTTATATAGCGCAACGAGATCCGGCCGGCCCTTCTTCTGGGGCACGAAGAATCCTTCCGCCCAAACCGTCCCTTGATTTAAGACAGCTTCACTCGAGGAAACAGGCTTCGGCGCCCCCCATCTAGAGATAAATAAAGGAATACTTCGCCGGGCTCTCCTCTATTGGGAGTCACGCGCCCCTCGTCCAAAAAAAAACTCCGCGGAAGGATCACGAGAACTATACTGCGCTCTGTGACTTATTCCCGCTCGCTGGCGGCTCCTTTCGTGTCAGACCACGTGACGCCTCAAGGGATGTGCCGCTTCCTATTGGCTTCCCGAAATCTGGATTCCCCCCCCCCCCCCCCCCCGCATTCGAGGTGAGCACGTGGACAGGCGGAACCCGATTGGTTAAGGGAGCCCTGTCCGCGTGGACTGTCTCCTGCTATTGGCTGAGAAGGGGAAGCGCGTCAATCGTTAGCCGTTGACGAAGAAGGGAGGGGGCGCGGGGGTGTTCTTTTGTGTGAGGCAAATGGGACTGAAAGGTCTTCTGAGGGGTTTATTTATTTATTTTATTTACGGCATTTATATGCCGCCCTTCTCACCCCAAAGGGAACTCGGAGCGGCTTACAAGATATATATATACATACAATATATTATATTATTTGCATAGTACAATATCAGTATTATATAGTACAATATTGTATTATACTGTTATATTATAATAATATTATTAGTAATATTACATGTAATATAAATTTATTATTATATCCTATTATATTGCATTACATTACAATATTATAAATATATATACAATATATTATATTATTAGAATAGCACAGGAGACAAGATGGAACTGTCCCCCTGTCTCTTCACTCTGGCCCAGAGCGGCAGTTGATGATGGGGGGAAGGGTCCCCAGCTGATAACATCTGCATGAAACAAGATGGAACTGTCCCCTGGCCCCCTCTCTCTTCACTCTGGCCCAGAGCGTCAGTTAGTGCTGTGGGGAGGGGTCCCCAACTGAAGACATATGCAGGAGACAAGATGGAACTGTCCCCTGGTCCCCTCTCTCTTCACTCTCGCCCAAAGTGGCAGTTGGTGCTGTGGGGAGGGGTCCCGATCTGATGACATATGCAGGAGACAAGATGGAACTGTCTCCTGCCCCCCCCCTCTCTTCACTGGCCTAGAGCGGCAGTTGGTCCTGGGGGGAGGGGTCCCCAACTGATGGCATATGCAGGAGACAAGATGGAACTGTCCCCTGGCCCCCTCTTTCTTCACTCTGGCCCAGAGCAGCAGTTGGTGCTGGGGGGAGGGGTCGCCAACTGATGGCATATGCAGGAGACAAGATGGAACTGTCCCCTGGCCCCCTCTCTCTTCACTCTAGCCCAGCGCGTGAGTTGGTGCTGGGGGTTTTGCTTCCACCCTTAAAAAGGCCTGGGTGCCTTGCTTTGGTTATGCCTTTATCAGGCTTAAGTGGCTGAGGGAGGGAAAGGAAGGGGCCTGAGGCTGTTAGGAATGGTGGGAGTTGGATTCCCAAACATCTGGAGGGCCCAAGTTTGCCCAAGCCTGCACTAGATGCAGGAAACCTTTCTTGCCTTGAAAGAGTTGGGGTTCAAAGCAAAACTTTTCCAATCTCTGAGGGCCTGTTGCCTGGGTCTGTTGACATCTGCCAAAGCTACTGGCTGCCCTCAGAGCTGCTTCCCCAGAGCCAATGCATTTGGGTGGAAATAATAACTTATTGCATGTACATACAATGGAATATGCTACTTCAGAGCGCAGTGGAGATCTTTAAGCAGAGCCTGGATAACCATCTGTTGGTGTTGCCTTGTGTGTTCCTGCATGGCTGTGGGTTGGACTGGATGGCCTTTGTGGTCTCTTCCAACTGTGAATATGTATGTAATGAGATATCTTGGAGAGGGCATCCCAAGTTTTTAAAGAGATTTAAAGATGGGCTTAAAGCCAACCTTAAAAGTTGTGGCCTAGACATAACTGGGAAGCCTTGGCCCTTGAGTGCTCTTAATGGATATCAGCTGTGACCAGCAGTGCTGCAGAATTCAAAGAGGCACGAATGGAGGGAGTAAGGTGCCAAGAGGAAGGCAAGTCAAGCCAACCCTGTCCGGGACTGCCTTCCACCTGGAAACCAATGTCCTCACTGCGGGAGAATATGCAGATCAAGAATAGGGTTCCACAGCCACCTACATATCCACCGCCAAGACACTACACTTGGAGCTATAATCCTCAGGCTACTAGGGATTGCCTCAGAGAAGAAGATCTGGGAGAGGGCATCCCAAGTCTAAATGCAACATTTATTTATGTTTCATATATATCTTATACACATGGGGTCATGGTGTCACAACAGGTTAAACCTCTGAGCTGCTGAACTTGTTGACCAAAAGTTTGGTGCTTCGAATTTGGGAAGTGGGGTGAGCTCCTGCTGTTAGGCCCAGCTTCTGCCAATTTAGCAATTCGAAAACACGTGAGAGGAAGTAGATTAATAGGTACAATTCTGGCGGGAAGATAGTGACGCTCCATTAGTCATACTGGCTGCATGACCTAGGAATTGGCTACAGTCAATGCCAACTCTTCGGCTTAGAAATTGAGATGAGCACCACCCTCCAGAGTCAGATATTACTAGACTTAATGTCTGGGGAAACCTTTACTATATGCCTTATATATATATATGGGGCTATGGTGGCAAAACAGGTTAAACCACTGAGTTGCTGAACTTGCTGGCCAGAAGGTTGGCGGTTTGAATCCGCAGGATAGCTTAGAAATGGAGTTGAGCACCACCCCTCAGAGCCAGAAGGGGAAGCCTTTACTTTTATCTGTTGTTTCTAGGCACTGAATATTTACGCCTTTGTGTTTGTGTATGCTGGAGTCTGTCCTGAGCCCCCTTGAGATAGGGCAGAATACAAATGAAGTATTATTATAGTATAGTCTGAAGGTAATGTTATCCTATAATTTTAATAATTTTGTGATTGAAACGATCAGAAGGCAAAGGTGTTTCTATATCAGCCAAATATGTGGACACTTTTGTGTCAGGCATGGGCAAACTTTGCCCCTCCCCCAGGTGTTTTGCACCAACTCCCACAATTCCTAATAGGCTGTTAGAAATTGTGGAAGTAGAAGTCCAAAACACCTGGAGGGCCAAAGTTTGCCCATGCTCGCTTTAAGTACAAGTGAATAACGGCAGCTCCTCTATCTAAAACAGGGGAAGGGAGATTAGAATTGAAGTTGGCTCTGGGAGGAGAGAGCCATAACTTTTGGACACCAGTATCTGCCAAGTGCTGAGGGCAGGCCTTTGTATGGGAACAAGACAAAACAAGATTCCTCTGGAAATCTGCTGCTAATGATGGTGTTCAGGATAGAGAGCATTCCTCTGTGTGGTAATTGAAGCATGAGATAGGACTGTCCCGCAAGCTCAGTTCTCCTTTGTGCTTCACACAGAACACAAGGCAGCTGCAAAGAACAGGCCCCTTTTGTCACAGGCTCCCAGCAGGAGATTTTGCTGAGAGCCTTTCCACACAGCCATATAATATCAAGGCAGATAATCCACAATATCTGCTTTGAACTAAGATATCTGAGTCCACACAGCCCTATAATGCAGTTCAATGTGGATTATATACAGCTCTGTGTGTGTGGGGGGGGGGGGGGCTGAATACAGTTCTTCTCGTGGCACTGTTCAAGAGAGAAAGAGATTGGAAAGGTGTTTTTTGGGCCCCATCTAAATTCTTTGCACCAGCTAGGACAGTGTTTTGCGTTCAATCTAATGTGAAAGATTTGCCATTTTTCCTCTTCCAATGTGTCAAGATTGTAAATTGATGTCAAGTCAACTTTGACTCATGGTGGCACTATCAACGAAAACCCTCCAAGTCACCTTGTCATGAAAAGCTTCACTTCGTTCTTGCAAACTTAATTTAATTTATTGGCCTGTAAGAGGATCTTGCTTTTTTCCCTACTGTTGAGAGGATTATGTGGTGGTCTGAATACCACCTGTGCACTCTTAACCCAGAAGGGACATTTATGTTAATAGGAGAGAATGATCAAACTGGCGAAACGTCAGGAGAAATGCCTCTAGAACATGGCTCTATAGCCCGAAAAAACCCACAAGAACTTAGTGATCAAACTGTTGCTTCTATGAGAGAGAGAGAGAGAAAAGAAGGTAAGTGACATAGAAATTACTTGAGACTTTTATTTAGGTAAGTGGTAATAATGCCCCAGTCCTCTCCAGTGCAGTGGCCAACAGTGAGCAAGAGAAGTGAGAAGGAAACCATTGCTGCCTTCCCTTATTTGCATGCTTTGCCACTACATCAGAGTGGAAAAACTCAGACAAGGAGGGGGATGTTGCAAGTTTGGAACGCCCTTCCTATATTCTCCTTTGAAACACTGATGATACAGGGTGGAAGCAGATTGCTGTCACTGTTTTATCAAATCCCCTTATAGCAGCAGCTGCTGCTATTTTAGCTCAGATGAAAGTGGCTCTGTTATTACTACTACCACTAAGAAGTATTTATTTGTTAAGCACAATTAAGAACATTATTAATACTGCTCCCTTTAATCCATCCCCCTCATGACAGTGCCTCTGGGAAGGTTTGAAGATGTATTTTCCACCATGATGAAATGCCGTTTAGTATTCATCTGTTCTGCTGGGAAATCAACATGAAACCTTTTGTTGTTTTGGCTGCAAATACATAAGAATTGACAGTCTTCTGCAAGAACAATAGCGAGAGAGAGGAAAAGCCAGTTGTATTTCTTTTTCTTTTTTAGATTCCACTAAGGTCAAGGTAAATTTTTTCCCTGAAATTAAGTCCAGTCGTGTCTGGCTCTGGGAGTTGGTGCTCATCTCCATTTCTAAGCCAAACTGTTGGCGTTTTCCGTAGACACCTCCAAGGTCATGTGGCTGGCATGACTGCATGGAGCGCCGTTACCTTCCTGCTGGAGTGGTACCTATTGATAAACATATGTTGTTGTTCATTCGTTCAGTCATTTCCAACTCTTCGTGACCTCATGGATCAGCCCACTCCAG